CCGCCACCGCCATGCCGGGCTGCAAGGCTTGACAGCCCGGCGCCAACGCCCAACAAGCGCCAGATCCAGAACAATTCACACATAGGGCGTTCCAGACGAGCCTCAAATCACGTTACGCATGGAGAAGGAGGAGGATCTTGAGAAACGTGGCCGAGACGTCACACGGCAGGGGGAGTTTAGAAAACATACCATTATGCTCCGATTTGGTTCCCAATCATGCTAACACATGATACACTAATTCGACAGCATAACCAGGGAGAGGGCCTCTCAGCCAGTGTAACCGGCGCGTAGCCTGAAAGGAAGGGGTGGACACGGACACGATGGGTACATAATCTATGAACTGACCCTTAACTGGAACATGCATGCCATGAGCTCATGACACATCGGCGCACTGCAAGCCGCCGGCAAACAACAAACAAGCCGGGCTGTCAGACCAGAGGCTCCAGCCCCACGCCCCTGCTCCGCTCAGCCCGCGTTCCAGGACAGGGTCCGTTACGCTTTGATGCAAAGCTGTCGCAGCTAGCGAGCAGAAGCCGGCCGCGCAGGTCGGATGACGTTCTCTGGAGAGCCCAGTTTATGCGTAGTTGTGCTAGAACTGAAGCCGACCGTAACCCCCAAACGATGGAAACGATCTCGGCGTGGGCACTAGCAGGGATTAGTCACTGTTCTCGAAAGCCCGACAGCGTTTGGCGCTGGGGTTGCGGTTGCGACTTTGCTCAGCTGTGTTCCCTCAGCTTAGACGGAGCTCATAGACAGAAGCGTGACGTGGCCCGCCTAACTGGCCTTGTGATTGACTTACCAACGTCCAGCACAGACGCCAGCTGGCTCAGGACCAGGCGACCGACGTCCGTCGCGCCAGGGACAGCATGAGCCAAGCCTCTCTGTACTTCAGCACCGTCAGTACTAATGGTATGGAGAGAAGTACTAGCGTGGTGGGAACGCTTCGATACAAGACCACGGATAACGGGCTTCAGGCTTCCAGCCCCCAGCCAGGAGCTAGAACCTCCATAGGGTCCACAGCACGTAGACAAGTCATTGAACGTGTACATTTGCACAATCCCCGCAGATTTCAACATACTTTGCTGCTTAGTCCTCCATGATCTGGGACTTATTTATTGTTCAAAACCAAAAGCCCTTGAGATCTACCTGCGATCTGTGCCGCCGGACCCTTTAAAGTATACGACTCGCTTGAGAATCCGAGAGCGTTTACCTGCGTACCTGCACGTATTACGCCACCGACGGACAGACAGCGGGCACCACGAACAAAGAAGCAGCCGGCATCAGGCGGCGTCGTCATGAACTCCAGCATGACGTGGTTTTTGCTGGTTAGGAGTCAAACCATCCATTTTATGAGGGTCTTCTGAGAACAAAAAGTGATCGCCACCATCCCGCTGCTGATTGACCCCATCCGACAGCCAGTGTTATGCAGCAAAACCTACACCAGTGCTACGAAGCGAATTACAACATACTCGCGCACGTCGGAAATAATCGCATCATGTTGACTCTTGGGCCGAGAGCTAAGTAAATCCCATCGGACAGCGTCTGGGTAAGCTTGGACTGTTCCCAACGTTTATGCCTACGAGGTGCCACTTGGGAACGGCTTGAGCTGTCGCCTGGGTTTATGGGGCAGCCCATGGACCGGCTCTGCGGTCTGCTGCAGACTCGCAGGCCTGGACAGACACGTGCTCCATGGACGGCTGGTAAGATTTTATTTCACGAGCTGATCACAAGCTGAGCGACAGCTGTGTGACACAGATCGGGGTCGGAGCGCCTAGATTATCCCGCGTCACCGTGAAAAATGGCGACAATGTGTGACACTGGGAATGAAACCGTAAACCCACACAGTTACCATGCAGTATTGACACCAGGCGAGGCCATATGGCTGGGAGCACCGCCAACCGGTTAGCCCTGCGACCACCCGGGGCGCAGCAGCCCTGCACCATCTAAAACGCAGCGAGGGGGCCCCCGGCTTCTGCATGCCCCGAACGTGCCTCGCGCAAGGCAAACCATGCCCGCGTCTGCATCGCCATGTATACACGTGCTGATTCCAGAGACGAGCCAGCAGCGCCTGGACGCCAGCCATCTGCACTGCAATGAGGTGACGTATTGACGTGCTCTGAGCAAATGGAAACTAGAATTGGTAACGGCAGTCCGGCGGCGCGTCGACTGCCGTCATATGCTAACCGTCATACCGTAACCGTCATACGTTAACCGTAACTGCCGTCATATGACTGCCATATGTTAACGCCGCGCCTGATTATGATTTACTCCGCGACTACACCACTGAGCTCATGCCAATTACGCGCGCTCCCAGGCCGCTATATTTCGCGTAAGCCCGTGAACTGGCGAGTCTGGTGTGCTGACTAGCTGCATGCCTGCCGGCAGAGTGCTAATCTGCACTGCTCTGCAAGACGCGTGCTAGGTGATTTCCTGATGGTAAGCATGACATCGCAACTTCCTACTCGGAAACCTGTTACGAATTACGTAGGCGGGAAACAATGCTTATGCTGGTCTGTGCAGCTTAAAAAGAGCTATCAACGGTATCTCAGAAATGTTTACTTACATTCCACGGACTTATTCAGTGCACTTGTGCAATCTTTCTCATTGCATTGGCTATTCAGATGAGGCATTGAGATTTCGTACCATTTAGCGGCTATTTTTCATTGGTGTTTTACAGCACATGTCGAGAGACGACTCGCGTGCCCTTTGGTCGGCGATCCTTCTCGCTCGATGCTATCAAACATCAACCTCAGACGTAAACCATCGCTGTGTGTGTGAGGCTGCACCAGCAATGCAGGCTGGACAGCCAGCTGACGCCAGCTTTCCTGCCTACGGTCCATATTCTACAGTCTACACGTATCACGCACACATGCCAGGCTCCTTCAGCACCGTTGCAACCATGGCTGGTTCGGCACTAACGGTGCCGCGCAGTCAGCACTAACACAACTGCGCCGCAGGTCGACCGGACTGACGACACAGACCTCGACCTTTAGCTGGGAGGTGCCCAGTGGACCGCACCGAGAACTTGTGGTCAGCGGGGCAGGCCTTGCTTTGACGGTGAAAACGTGCTGACTGAGGAAGCAAATGAAAACGAATGGGAGCTCGGCGCGCGGCGTCAGCGGACTCACGAACGGTCATCCCTATGCGTCACCCACACATACAGTTTTTGGGGTCGCATCAGCCGCTTCCACAGCCCCACGCCGTCGCCCCCGCTGATCGTTCCATACAGAGCACCCCCGAAGACCGTCCCATACACTGCCGGCAGGGCCTCAGACACTGCCGGCCGGCCGCCACGCCGGCGCGGATCGACGGTCATGTTTACCCGGAAACGCCCCCGGACCCGGACACAGGACAGGCTCCGTGGCGGGGGCGGAGCGTCCGGCGGCGCCGTGGCACAGCTCGGCACACACACGCCCACACCGGGTCGGCGCTAGTCCCGCATCCGTCCCGCGCATCCGTGCGGCACACACGACAGCGCCGCCACCTCCCGTGATGAGCACGCGGGCCGCACGAGTCCGCGCTCCTCCTCGGAAGCTCGGCACGAGCGCCTGTGAGGCCCCGCGTCCGTTTAGTGTCGTTCTGGCCATTACGTAACTGGAACCAGGCCGGCCGGCCCCGTGGGCGTGTTCTGGGTAGTTTGGGGTCCACCCGTGGCGCCGTCCGCAGCGGGAGCACGGCGTCAGCCGCGCCGCGGGCGAGGCTCGTGTGCAAACAGGCTCCTCGGGAGAGAGCACACATCGGGCACATACTTCGGCGAAGGCGGGACGGCGCGGAAAACCCGGGTCAGACACGCCGACCCGCGGCTGGGCGCGGGCACGGTGCCGAGCGACCTCCGACGAGGCGCCGAGGGTCGCTCCCTCTGCCCTCTCTTAGAGTCCCGTCACGTCAACGCTCGGCAACAGCGACTGGTCACGCGGAGCGCGGCGCGGTTTCATTGGAAGTTGCGTCATCCGCTGTCACAGTGTTCCCAGTCTGACCCGGCGGCGATCTCGCGGAACCGCCGCCGCTACCGTGAAGACCTTGCCTAGAGTCCGAAGCACGTTATCAGCCGCCTGGCCCCCTGTGCAGCACGCCATTCGCCGCCGGTGCCGCCCGCCGAGGCGGCGCGGCGAGCCGGCCCATCGGCGGAGCGCGGCGGGCGCGCCGGTCCCGCCCGCTCCACCACGCACCACACAGCGGTGACTCACGGCCCGACAACAGCCGCCGCCGGACGGGCCCGGCTCGGCCCGTGTCACCCCACCGGCGGGGGAGGGGCCACAAAGCACCGAGCACACCGGCGGCACTGCGGTGGTTCCCCGTCCAGCTGGAAATCACCGCAGAGGCGCGGCCCACCTGTCGCTCGCTGGATGGGTGGGGCGCCGTGGCGGCGAGCCCGAGCGCCCGGAGCTTTTGCGTCGTGAGCCGGGCGTCACCCATTGATCGGGCGGATCAGGCGGATCAGGCGGATCAGGCGCCGACTGTCACGCATCGGCCGGCCCTGACCTGCACGTGGTGACAGCCGCCAAATTAGCGACCGCATCGACCGGGCACAGTCTGCCGTAGTCCCGGGCGCGCGGCGTGCTCGCCAGATCGGGCGGGTGCCGTGACCCGTGCCAAATCCGCTCACCAGTCCGCGGCCAACACGAACGTGCTGTCCCGCCCGGAGCCCCGCCGATCAGAGCGGCAGACTGCACTGGTTGCCCGGCGCACCGCTGGATGGTGCGCGCCGTTTCGACGAGTCAGTGCGGCCGCCGGTGTGACCCAGCCTGCTCAGGGCGGAGGGCAGGGTCCGAGAGGCGACGCCAGCGATACGTGAACGCCGGCATCAGACGGCCAACGACACACGACCACGCGACCCGAGACTGGAGGGGAGCGAACGCTGCCGTTGGGCAACACCGCGCCGTCGGCCTTGGGCCTTCCGTGAACTGTCATCAGGTCACTGTCGCTGCCAGGCTCCGCGCACCAACACAGCTTTGCCGCGTCCCATGGGCCCAGTCCACAAGCACACCTCATGCACGTACCTTCGCGATGCGTTTCCCCGCTGTACTCTCTGTCGCGTCGCGACACGTCTCTCGCCGTGGAAGCAGCGTGCGGCCGCCGCCGACTCGACACCGCGCTCTCCACAGTCAGCACTGCGGCGGGGCAGCGCACACGCCCGAGCCGCCGCTCGGGCCGTGACGTCACCCGTTTCCCGCTGACGTCACGGTCGGCGGTATGCGCCTGGCCCGGCCGGGCCGGCGGGCCGGCGAGGGCCGCCGTCTAGGGACGGCGAGGACGTCAACAGCGACGCGAACGCCTGCGGCCGGCCCCGAGGCGGGCAGCGCAGGGCGGCGGGAGAGGTCGACAAACAGCCCGACCCTCGGCACGCTCTCACCCGGCCCCCGGCAGCCCGGCCCCCGGCACGCCGGGATGGACGACCGCGGCCGGCGGCCGGGCACGGTCGGAGGCCGGACTGGACGGCCGACGCCGTCGGAATCCCAGTGCACAGAGCACTGGGTGGGGTGCTGCCAGTGGCGTAGCAAGGATCTTGCCCAAGGGGGGGGGGGCAAATCGGGGCATAGGGGACCGTCTAAGTCAGGGGGCTCACTTCGTCGTTATTGGGAAACGTTTCTTGACTCGATGGAACTTTTTAGGCTCGGGGCTCCATTTTGGTGCCTGGCAAGCCCATTCGTTGATTGTTTAGAAACCTTCCGGACATAAAAAAATACAAAAAGCACTGGGACCTTCGACTCCAGTGTGGTCTTCAGCTCCGCCAGCCCCAAGGCAGCGGGCATGACCTCAACAGCCCCGCCCGTGGCAACGCCACTGGGTGCTATAGTCAGCACAGCAACCACAGGCCATGTCTTCGTCCGCTCCACATCGCGTGATCCCGTGCTCCGAAACATGCAAGGGCATAAAAACATTCCCCACAATGGATGGAATAAACATGCCGAAACCAATTCTATCCATGCATCGTTGTAATGTCAGTGCTAAGCTTTCGCGAGAAAATGATGGATCATTGCCCACCCAACACCCATTGTTCCCACGCTGATGGCGGCGTGCTTGGAATCGCTCCTATTTGCAACTGGCTGCGAACTCCGCTCCGAGGCAACAGCGAGAAATCGGACCCGGCCACACCTTCGATAAGCAGCCCCACTACACTCCACTAGCACAAGCAGACCACATCCCTCCACTAGTCGGCAGACCACCCGAGTAAACGCCCCGAACACAACTGTAAGCCAGGAGCGCGAGGACGGCACCACAGACAGAGGACAGCACGCATAGCCGGTGGAGGGAGGCACAGACAGCGGAGGGAGGCACAGACAGTAGGAAGGAGGAACAGAGCAGTGGAGGCTCAGACAGCTGAGGGGAGGCATAAGCAGTGGAGGGGAGGCCCAGATAGTGAAGGGGAGGCACAGACAGTGGAGGGGAGACCCAGGCAATGGAGTGGAGAGTGAACTGTTCCTCCATACAGGCAGTGGAGGGGAGAGTGAAGGGTTCCTCCACACAGACAGTGGAGGGGAGAGTGAAAGGTTCCTCCGCACAGACAGTGGAGGGGAGAGTGAAGGGAAGGCACAGCCAGTAGGGAGGGGGAGGCACAGACGGTGGGGGTGGGGGTAGAGTGAAGGGAAGGCACAGCTGGTGGGGGGGGGGGGGGGGGGGAGGGGAGAGACACAGACAGTGGAGGGGGGAGGGGGCACCACTTTGAGGCAGATCCTTCACGCATCTCGCAGGGATAACGTGAACTTTTCTGAACAGTGGAGTGTAAAGCCTCGCCCATGATGGCAGCAATACAAGCGAGGTAGCAGCCAGTTGCTCTGGAATCTGGTCGTCGCTTGCTAACATTGAATGGGGCTTTTGTTCTCAGCGAGTCGTTTGAACCTTGGATTATGGACTTGCCCACGCTGAGACGGCACGTTTTTAAAATTACTGGGCGCTGTGATTGAATAACAGCATTTTCTGCACAAAGTCCAGGGCTCCGTGGTCAAGTTCAGACACGTTAGGGTCTGAACCCCCAGCAAGTACATGGGAAGCTCCGCCCGTTATTCCACAGTAAATTCCATCCGACTACACACAGTGTGTAAATGCTATCTTGCACGAGCGCCGTGTCGCCACTCCCGACATTTTTTCATGCACGGCAGCGGTAACCTGTCCGTGCGCTGGTGATTTTCACCGCCGGAAAATCCAAGCCAAGGGCGTGTCTAGCAACTCAAACTCGTGGGGTCCGGGGGGGGGGGGGGAAGAGATGCACGCCAATGATCGCAGAAACCAAGCTATCAAACTAGGTCGAAGGGATTTCAAGCCGTTTGAGGGCGAGCTCCATAACCACCCATCTGGGTGTTCACATAGAGCCCCGCTACCGACGCGCCTGCACCGACAGCAGCGGAAAAACCGGGCTCGCCACCACAGATGGGCTGCCATGCCAACACATCGCGATCGATTCCGCGTTCGTTGACGTTTCTGGCTCAGCTTTCCGCACCGAGAGAAGACGGGAGCAGCGCCTCGCTTCTTGGTAGAGACAGTATGCAAATGTACCTGTTGGCGTTTGTGGTTCTGGCCGACCAGACTGAGTCACGGACGGCCTAATGCATGGCGCGCGGACACGACACTGCCAGCACTGGCACCTGTGGCGCCACGAAGCGGCCGGCCAGCTGCAAACTACCGTCGGGAAGGTGACGCATCGAACCCGGTTCAGCGGCTCCCGCCCACCAGCGGTGACCGCCTCATGTGAGAAGATCTCGGCGAAGGTCTGTGTACGCTTGTATTACGAGATGGTCGGCGGTGAGCCACAAGCGGAATGATGATGAATGCTCTCGACATGAAGCAGGGCCGAGATAAGGACACCAGGCGTCGGATACGAAACTCAATGTCAGTGTCGGGCTGAGCTGTCTTCTCTCGGGATACCCTTCCCGACGCTAACCTTAGAACGGTTCACATCACGTTTCCAAGCCACGGCAGGCGTCTCAAGCGACGACGTCACCATAGGTCTGCAGATGTCGCGTCGGTCGCCGGCCGCCGCGCGCAGAGATCGCTTCAATCGCGGTTGGCCTCCAGCTCGGCCGGCTGCGCCTCCGACTCCTCGTTATAGATGTTCTCGGCCATCTGCCACACCTGCATGATATTGTCCTCGGAGACGGAGCACACCACCCACGGCTCGTTGGGGTTCCACGAGAAGTCGGAGATCTTGGCCGTGTGGCCGCCGTGGATGAAGAGCAGCTCCGGCGGCCCGTCCTCAGCGTCCTCGGCCGACTGCTCCTCGCCGATCTTGCTCAGGTCCCAGACGTGCAGGCGCCGGTCGGTGCCGCTGCTCGCCAGGATCGTCTCGTTGTGCGGCGACCACTGCACCTGGAAGATCTCGTCCTTGTGCGACTCGAACGAGTGCAGCTTGAGCTTGAGGTTGCGCAGGTCCCACAGCGCCACCGTCTTGTCGGCCGAGCCCGTCGCCAGGATGTACTCCGAGTACGGGTTGAACGAGAGGCAGTTGACCTCGGCCGTGTGCGCGTCGACGATGTGCGACGGCTTGTTGGTGGTGCTGGAGCGCGTGTCCCAGATCATCAGCTTCTGGTCGTCGGCCACCGAGCCGAAGAACGTCATGTGAAGCAGGTGCCAGGCCACGTCCTGTCGGCAGAGCACCGTCACACACCCGCCTGGTCTGCTGGTGACCGTGAACGGCTTTTCTCGTCCGAGGGATTCACTGGGGCGGAGAAGGGCGGAACCGGCTTTCGGTGCCATCTGTGTTCGGCTGTACGAGCTGCACCAGCTGTGGTATCATGTATTGCAGCATTTTTACTGTTGCAAGTCAGAAGTCCACAGAGCTACAAGATTGAAGTAGGATAATTGCAAAACCCCATCACAATCAATCCTTCCGCACGCGCCACCACCAAAAAAAACACACCTTTTGAACGCCGAGCAAAGGGGTGCATACAGGGAAGCGTCCGAACACTTCCGAATACAATATTACCCACATACAGTATGTCAATAACATGAAAGGTGAGCCAACTTCATAAATGTCAGACGTAGGATCTGGTTACAGCATGCACCTTTTTTCCGCGCACCTGGCCGGCCGAGGCACGAATGGCATTTTAACCACGTGCACACATTTACGATATCCTCGATGGTCGTTGAAGACTACCAACCTAACTCATGGTATCAGTGGGTACCAGTCCTGGACTACTACGGTGCTAAATGTCTACGAATGGAAACTGATCCCAATGATTCTTAAACCGCGCAACCGTGAGCGTGCGGAGTGGCCTACCCTTTTTAAAGGGATATGGCCAGAATAGGACAACGAATGCACAGCACGCCACACGCCATTGCATCGCAGCATGAAGTATTAACATCGTACACAACAACCAACGTGTACGTTGAGGAACAAAGTGCAAATACACAATCGACGGTGTACAGGGCAAACAGGCCTCACCACAACTGTCCGAATATAGAGTGAAGATCAGTAACCAGACAACGGACTTCGTTTCACAAAAAAATAAACGTTAAGACGGCTTAAACAAGACCTGAGAAGCGTGATGGTCTGTTTAGATGGACTGGAGTCAGTGGAGGCCCACGCTCTCACCTCGACGACAGCCGTGTGACCGGTGAAGATGTTCTTGGCATCCACCACCTTGTTCTCCTTGGGCGTGGCGTTGATGTCCCAGAGGCAGATGGTGTGGTCGTCCGAGGCCGACAGCAGGTTGCCATTGACGGAGGGGTTCCAGGAGAGGCCGTACCCCTCCTTCTGGTGGCCCCGAAGCCTGGCATGCGCCAGCCGTCGTCAGTGGGGCGTCCGGGGTTGGGGTGGGGGGGGGGGGGGGGGAGGCGACAGCTGGGCTCAAATGGCCTTGTCCGGCTGATTGTGGACGCATGCGACAGCTGAAGCCGGGTGAGAACGGGCCATGACCAGCCGCTGAGACGCCAAACGTCGCTGAACGCCATGACCGGCGAAACTCTCACGCGGCGAGAACGGAATCTCGGTACATTGGCAATGAGCCGAAAGCCTTGAACTGCCGGACCGCTAACGCCGCCGCCCCGGCGACCGCGGGGCGCAGCGGGCGGCCCACCGGGCGGCGCCGCGGCGGCGAAACGAGCAGGCGGCACGGCGGCGGGGGAGCCGAGGCCGCGACGCTGCCGAGCCGCGCCGAGGCGCCGCCGGTGGAGTGGGCGAGCGGAGTCCCCGCACACGATCACGCCAGCTGGTGATCCGAGACGGTGGCGGGGTGTGGTCATCATCAGGACCCTGGAGACGGTCCGGGGCTCCAGCTCCCGTCATGCGAGCGGTTCGTCCCGGGGTCTGACCTTCTGACACTGAGCTGGGATGGGGTCCAAGTCCTCAGCCGCCTCGTCACGGCCCCGCCGTCTAAAATGTGCTTTAGGTGCCGTCACCGAGCTCAGTCGCGTGTTCCCGATCAATCGTGCCCGAGCCTAGGTCAGCTCCGTCCTCTAGCTCCCCATCTGACTGACCTGAGGTCGGGGCTGCACTGTGCTAAGGTCGCGGCTGCACTGTGCTGAGGTCGGGGCTGCACTGTGCTGAGGTCGGGGCTGCACTGTGCTGAGGTCGGGGCTGCACTGACCCGAGGTAGAGGCTCACTGACCTGAGGTCGGGGCTGCACTGTAGTGGGGTCGGGCTGCACTGACCTGAGGTCGGGGCTGCACTGTGCTGAGGTCGGGGCTGCACTGTGCTGAGGTCGGGGCTGCACTGTGCTGAGGTCGGGGCTACACTGTGCTGAGGTCGGGGCTACACTGACCCGAGGTAGGGGCTCACTGACCTGAGGTCGGGGCTGCACTGTAGTGGGGTCGGGCTGCACTGACCTGAGGTCGGGGCTGCACTGTGCTGAGGTCGGGGCTGCACTGTGCTGAGGTCGGGGCTACACTGTGCTGAGGTCGGGGCTACACTGACCCGAGGTAGGGGCTCACTGACCTGAGGTCGGAGCTGCACTGACCTGAGGTCGGAGCTGCACTGACCTGAGGTCGGAGCTGCACTGACCTGAGGTCGGGGCTACACTGACCCGAGGTAGGGGCTCACTGACCTGAGGTCGGGGCTGCACTGTGCTGAGGTCGGGGCTGCACTGTGCTGAGGTCGGGGCTACACTGTGCTGAGGTCGGGGCTACACTGACCCGAGGTAGGGGCTCACTGACCTGAGGTCGGAGCTGCACTGTAGTGGGGTCGGGGCTGCACTGTAGTGGGGTCGGGGCTGCACTGACCTGAGGTCGGGGCTTACTGACCTGGGGTCGGGGCTGCACTGTAGTGGGGTCGGGGCTGCACTGACCTGAGGTCGGAGCTGCACTGTAGTGGGGTCGGGGCTGCACTGTAGTGGGGTCGGGGCTGCACTGACCTGAGGTCGGGGCTTACTGACCTGGGGTCGGGCTGCACTGTAGTGGGGTCGGGGCTGCACTGACCTGAGGTCGGGGCTGCATGACCTGAGGGTCGGGGCTGCACTGACCTGAGGTCGGGGCTTACTGACCTGGGGTCAGGGCTACACGAACTCGAGGTAAGGGCTCACTGACCTGAGGTCGGGGCTGCACTCGCCGCCGGCATCCGGCTTGCTCGGGTGCTTGGTGTAGTCGAACACGAGCACGTCCGAGCTGGGCGTCTTGGTGGCGATGACGCACGGGTTCTGCGGCATGTAGCGCGCCCGGTTCACCTCGCCCTCGTGGTTGATCTTGATCTCGATGTCGATCCGGCCATTCACTGAGCTGAAGCCGCCGAACTCTGCCGGTACAGCGCGCGGCCGACTGATAAGAGGGCCTCCAGACAAGTGCACAACACTGGGCTCCAGAGTGGGAGCAGTCGGAGGGGAGCAGACAGAGGGAGAAAGGGTTGCTGCAGAGAATTCGACAGAAATGATGAATGGAACATATAGGGGGAAGAGAACACGTACAATGGCATTGCGAGGAGCAGACAAGGGGAAGAGGACATATGCAAACAATGGTGTTGAGAAGGGAAGATCTCTACCATTTCTGCCAAGCCGTGCAAGTGGGGGCAAAAGACAAGAAAAAACGACGAAAAGAACTCAACAAAACGGGCACATTTGGGATATCCATAGCAGGAGATACCAATATCCGCGGAAGCTACACCCGTTCAGAACTATGTAGATGACGCATACGGTTACGAAAACACGCGAATACTTGTTCACGGTGAAGTCCGCGACACGGATGTCACTGCAATATGCTCGCGACCGCCAGTGGGGAAAGGAGAATACGAACACTCCCACGCTCCCATGGCAAGTACGGCCCATCTGGGATCCTCGGCGCAGTACAGAGGGGCTCTGACGCACGCACCCGCCCACTTTCCTGTGGAAGGAGGGGGATGTGTGCGTACATGCCGCCCCGTTCGCTGTCGTAGGAGGGGAATGCGTACGTACGTACCACCCCGTTCGCTGTCGTAGGACGGGGATGCGTACGTACGTACCGCCCCGTTCGCTGTCGTAGGAGGGAGATGCGTACGTACGTACCGCCCCGTTCGCTGTCGTAGGAGGGGGATGCGTACGTACATACCGCTCCGTTCGCTGTCGTAGGAGGGAGATGCGTACGTACATACCGCCCCGTTCGCTGTCGTAGGAGGGGGATACGTACGTACGTACCACCCCGTTCGCTGTCGTAGGAGGGAGATGCGTACGTACGTACCGCCCCGTTCGCTGTCGTAGGAGGGAGATGCGTACGTACATACCGCCCCGTTCGCTGTCGTAGGAGGGGGATGCGTACGTACGTACCGCCCCGTTCGCTGTCGTAGGAGGGAGATGCGTACGTACATACCGCCCCGTTCGCTGTCGTAGGAGGGGGATGCGTACGTATGTACCGCCCCGTTCGCTGTCGTAGGAGGGGGATGCGTACGTACGTACCGCCCCGTTCGCTGTCGTAGGAGGGGGATGCGCACGTACGTACCGCCCCGTTCGCTGTCGTAGGAGGGGGATGCGTACGTACGGACCGCCCCGTTCGCTGTCGTAGGAGGGGGATGCGCACGTACGTACCGCCCCGTTCGCTGTCGTAGGAGGGGGACGCGCACGTACGTACCACCCCGTTCGCTGTCGTAGGAGGGGGATGCGTACGTACGTACCGCCCCGTTCGCTGTCGTAGGAGGGGAATGCGCACGTACGTACCACCCTGTTCGCTGTCGTAGGAGGGGGATGCGTACGTACGTACCGCCCCGTTCGCTGTCGTAGGAGGGGGATGCGTACGTACGTACCGCCCCGTTCGCTGTCGTAGTGTGACGGGTCGAGCTGGGCGTCCTCGGTCGGCAGCTGCACGGAGGCGATCAGCAGGTGGTTCTGCTCGTCGGACGTGTGGGTGCCCAGGATCAGCCGGTGCACTGTGTAGTCCTTCCCGTCCGGCCTGGCGAACATCGGCCGTCAGGGGTCGCCGCCGCCATGACGACGTTCGACGCTCGCCGCGGCGCGGAGTGGCGCAGTCGAAAGACTACACCACTGTTGTGCGTCATGACCGGACGTCACGTGTGGCGACCCACTATGCTCCAACATTGTATGGACCATTCTCCATTCAGGGTAGGGAGAACAGCTGGGTGGATTGAGACAGTTTATGGAAATGGATGATTTGATGGCATGGAAAGCAGTGCTGGCACTCCACTAATACCTCAGAGGCTAAGGCTTACGTTCAGAAACATGGGCATTAATCACAACTACAGAACTGCGGGGTCATGCAAAAGGTGTGCTCCACTATCATCATATGTGAACATCTCTAGACCCACACTTGCTTGACAATACAACTACAACGTGCGATCTCAGCGGCCTGCTGCCTTGGCGACAGCACCATTGCCTGCCCTCAGCACCACCGTCTGACCTCAGCACCACTGGCACAGCGCCACAGTCGCTGGTCGGAATGCCGCCATGCAGCCGCGCAGGCGGGCGGCCCAAATAAGCCAATCAAACATGGAACTGATCATGACACAAAGCCACAGTTTCAGAGATGGGTAGCAATGCCATTTCTGTTCTCACCTGGTGACATCTGGCAGCCACTGGGCGGTGAGCGACGGCCACTCCAATGCATGGGTCATCACTAGGTCATACAGAAATGGAGTGTTCTTTTTCCAGATCTTGTACTCCTCATTGATGACCCTCTCCTCCACAGCATCATCAAAGTGTTCTAGAAATGTGCCCAACATGTTACAGCAGACCCATCACAACAACTGCACACATGCATAACCCATGCCTGGTAGCAATGTCTGCAAGGCATGCACTCAGCAAAAATCACTGACAAAGTATCAGCAGCTCTTGATTCATCACATGGATGCATATTTCACACTAACAGATTTCTTATGTTTACCCTGCTTTTATTGCTTTGGGAATTTTCACTCATTTTCACTTGGCCGCCATGATGCAGATTATCATCATAGTTTGTGACCTACTGAACTGACTACCAAATAAGCCTGGAGTCAATGCTGAGTTGTGGTATCTTCACCCACACATATACATTGATGATGCACCACTTGGGCACCCAAAGCATCTGGGTTTGCCCAGCACATAGCCCACTGGTCACACAGCCTGGAATACCCTGAGATGTATGTGGAGGCAGGCAGATGCACTAGGTAACATGGGACAGGCAGTGTGCCAGGCAGTGGGCATCCATGAATTGTGGTATGCTGTGCACTGTAATTGCAGCATGGTCTGCTGCCATCTTACCTCCATCTTTTTCAGTCATTTTGCCTTCTGTAAACACTCAAGATGGGGCCTGAAAATAACAGAGAAGAGACATGGTGTTAAAGTTTGCCTTGTGTTATTAGCTGTGATACTTCTAATGCAAAGCAACACACAATTTATTTGAAGCACATAAACAGTGCTTTATATGCAAGGTCTTTTGTGGCATTGGGATCAAGATGTATATCAACACAGACATAGTTTTTGGTGGCTGCTTCCTTGGTTGCTTGCAACGCAATTGTAACTCCTTGATTGGGATGGACTAGATGGGCTTGGCTTGTGTTGCCTGACCTGGTCTCAGACCATGGTTTTACCTGTTCATATATGATATTCCATATTTTAATTTAATAAGTTTATGCCACTCACACTACAGTACACACAATTCTTCTCACTCCTAGAGGTTGGGCTGCAAAGCATGCTTGAGCCTTAATAGGCCAAGCAGGTGTTTCAAACCTGTAAATCTTTAACCTTTTTATAAGAAATTAAATGTGACACATCATCATGCCCCTTTTACATAATGTCAGTGACTTCATTTACCATATTAGCACCCAAAGGCTATGGCATTATCAGGCTCCAAACCTGGGCACCCCACATCTGAGTCTGACACACTAGCCACTTGGCTATTAAGTCCCATTATGCAATGTACAATGTTAAGGATTTGAACACCACACAAAACAGCAAAAACATATTGTGATGAGGTTACAGGAATCAGGGCCACCCAAACATTTTATAATGAATCATGCAACAAGATGCACCATTCCTTTCTCATAATTTATCAAGTCCAAACCTCCAGGTTAAATGAAAGATCACTGTACAAGCTAAGATGGGCTTTTGCATCAGCCCCAAACACAACATCCAATCACAAAATTTTAGGATACACAAAATTTTGTGGAAAGTTTGCTGCATTGCATTGCTCAGCATTGTTGCACCACCTCTGCAATTCCCTACCACCAGTTACAGGTCAGTTCAGTATGAAATTAATAGCCAGCCTTAAATTTATGTGGACCTGCCCTGCCACTAGCAGGTGAGTCTGAAGACAGGAATTCTAACCATCTGAGCTACTGGGATGTACAAATGATTCATTTCACAACTGACTTTTATTTTGGTGCCTAGCCATTATACTGTAATACTGAGATAATTCTTGGATCTCGACATTAACATTGGCCCATTGCAGACAACTTCCACATGAATGTATGTAGTATTGTCCACTCTCACAGCCCAACCAAACACTAAGTCAGGTGTTACCATGAGTATTTGCCCAATACTTGGGTAATCATAACAATACCAATAATATAACGTCCGAGGCATCCGAACACGGTGCGCCCTCGCCACCCGCCACCACCCAAGGCCAGCTCTATCTGACAACTCCACTTGCTTGGCGCTCCACTTGCCTGGTGCGTAGGCACCCTAAACAACTGCCATACACCACAATGTATTATCACCATAACCATATTTGAGTCAAAAGTAGATATGCATGAAAACATAAACTTCTGCAGCGCTAACTCTTTCATGTGCATCTCTTGACAAGTCAGTTTGCATTAAACCCAGTCACTGCGCCAGATGCCTGCACATCAATGCCCCAGTCTTTGTGCTCAAATGTGCCAGACTCTGTACAGGACATCCATATAAATTTTCAAAGAGCTTTCCTGTGGATAATATTTTCAGAGTATGACAGGTAAAAACCTAATATCAACTTCAAAACATCCTGAAACATTAGCTCTTCATGTTCTGAAATTAAAGGCGACCATGCAGTCAACTATAAGGTTTCAGATTTATGGCACATGTGCGCTGAAATTGTTACCGCGACGTCCCCACTTTGCCGGAGACGTTCGATATAACGTGCATTGTTCACAGTCCGGGTGACCGGCACCTTTGCCGTAACATGCAAACTGAAACTTTCCGAAGCCCAGCAAGTTAACACGCACGTATACAAAACATAGTCTGAAAAACAACGTATTTAAGAATGTCATACCAACGCCGGTAAGCCCCAGGTCACCACCTCATACTTACAAACACAAAGCTCGGCCCAACTCCCCCACGGACTCTCTCGCCCAATACAGCGTACAATGTTACCCGTCGCTGTCGAAATGGCGCGCTGAAAAAGGCACATATAAGACATCTGCTAATTTTAATGCATGTCTAACCAGAAATGGTGCTGATTGACTGACATAAAATGGTCCAATTAGAGCATGAAATTAATCACTTAAAGATAATTTGTCGATTTTGTCATCTTAACTTCAATTTCCACTCAATACTTAGTTTACTGACAGGCAAATTCTTTGAATAGTTGACTTATTCAGAGTTATAATTTGGGGAGAGACTAAAACTGTCAGGAATTGGCCAATCTGCAAGTACTGTTTCCTTAACGCCTAATTCATCAGCTACACGCTTGATGAACGGAATATTCCCACTTCTATTGGTCAGCAGGCTGCTCGCATTTACCTGGCCAGATTGTTCACTTCATGATGGTACCTGAGTCGCCTCTGGCTTTTGGTTCCCACTCCACAAGATGCTCAAACAAATATTTCGCACAATAAATCAAGCAAAACTTTCTTAGAATTGTGAAATTACTCATAAGTTACGATAAAGATACAGGAAAAAAGTTGTACATCACTTCCTACGGATTTTGAGTTCGGCCAAAGAGCAGTGGCAGCGCATGGCGAACACTCTTACCTTTCTCATCACAAGACGAACTTGCGACAAATATGGTGCGCACAATCTGCAAAACCAAATGTGAAAACCACTGAATGCAATTGCCGCCTGCGCTGGACGGGGAATGGGCGGATCGCGGTGCTCGTGCTCTTGTGGTAGGCAGTCGCGTATGTGAGATCGGAGGGGGCGGGTGTGACCGGGATTTATTTACCCCAAATCGCCATCAGACTTTTCCCAATATCCCTGTCATCAGATGCGGTACTGGTGCTTACGAAAGGCGCTGGCGCGTGAGTCGGGACTGGATTGGATATCTACATTCCACTGGGGGAAGACTAAATCCAACGGAGGTGGGTGGTTACGATCCAGAATATATGAGTGAAATAGTTGCAATTGGTTTGTGATCATGAGAAGAATTCATGTGTTGTGTTTTGAGCCGTAATTTTGTTTGTATTGCTCATTAAGCCAATGAAGGTTGCCTGGTTGTCACAAGTTAACATGCTGTCATGCTCAAGTTTGGTATCATATGCCTTCAGTCACTGTGAAAGCCAAGTGTTATCTTTGTCAAGGTATAGAGGGCTGTGTATGAAACATGATTTCTATGTTTAGGAGCATCTGTGATTAACAATGATTCAATAACATATAATTCAGTAACCACCTCTGCTAAGACAATATGGGCTTGGTTAATCAAAGATAAATATGGCATATAATGTCAGCACATGCTTTTCCTTTACATAGGTATGTTCTCATGTTTATGAATATTATCCTCTTGTCAATCTTCCATGAAAATAACATGCTGTTCCTGCACATGAGTGTATCCCCATGTTTGCAATTTGTATGTTCTTGCCATCCTTCTATGGAATTTAGCCATTATAGGTGGGTAATTTCTGAACAAGCCATAGTTAAACTGGTTGTATAATTATGGGATAACCAATGGGCTTCAAAGTATCCCATGTGGGCTGAGTTGAAGCTTTGTGGTCCAGGGTTACAACATGCCAGGGAACTGTTCATCCAGATTTCTAGAGCCAAAGGACAGGCTGGTGTGGTTGTCTAATACCTATCCATAATACTAGAAGCTTTTGAAAAAAGAATGCTTTCATGAGTGAAACAGTTGTTGGCAATGGTGCATTGTTTACAGCTGCTTAATGCTAATGTAGAAGTATGAAGCACAGGATGGCTACATGGGCAGTCTGTGCACTTTATATTTGAGTGAATTATGTCTTGGCATATATTATAAAACAAATATTTTGTATAGTAATGCATGTAAACTACTTTGCAGTGTAGATTTAGACATATATTGATAATAAACCTGGCAGACCACAACAAAATATAGCAGAGGCTTGTCACATTCCAAATATCTGGAGTAACTTTGAAAATAAATATCATAGCAAACAGTCCTGGAAACTGATGTATATATGAAATATAAAGCTAGCACATTATAAAGTTAATTTATTTAGGCAGCATTGTGCATGAACTTATTTTGTTTGTTATGTTTCTTTCATACCATCAAAAATACCACCAACACTAAATCATGCCATTCCATCAACAACAACAGTATAATTCATACCATCATGGGGCAGATGGCAGCACATCCAGGTATATGTCACTTATCTAACCCATCCCCAGAACATGATTTATTATCAGAATAATTCAGAGCACTGATTTTGCTACCTTGTAGCCCGGGATAGCATAACATGACCCTCTTCATGAATTACTGGTGCTAGATCATAAAAGTAAGCCCAAATTTATTTTTTTGTATGAATTCATTAAAAGCAAAATATTTTGATATGTGTCAGGTGTTGCCAGCTGGTCAGTAGCATCACTGGGTGTGGCAGATGTGGGCCTGGACCTGGCCTTTTCATTTCTTTTTCTTTTTCATTGCTTAAACACCTTCATGTATGTCAAATCTCTTGTCATGTGCTATTTTTTGTGGTTGTTGTGACAACTTTGAGGCTTCATCACTTGCTTCAGTTGCAGCAGTCAACCTGATAAGCGATGTTGTAAAAAAAAAATGTCATGCAAGTTGACATCAAATGTTGATTTTTGCCACTGACTGCCACCTTGACTTTTAGCACATCTTGATGTGGACAGCTGATGGTGTTGCATCATCTGACATGGTAACACAGTTACACTGCTGGTGTAGCTGTGTTGTCATGCCAGCGGGGATGGCGACTAGCCCAGCTTAAGGCTGCCCTTCCGTCAGATGCGGCCAAAGGGTGGAGCATCTGCCCAGCCCAGCAGTGTGCCCAGACACCGGTCAAGCAGAAACCTTGCGCTGTGGCCAGTGGAGAAAACCTTTGTCTGCCATCCAATTTTGACTAGACTTTGTTCATGAAGGTTGCAGCAGGCCCTGCTATGGTTAAGTTCAATGGGAGCCAAAACTTCAAGGACACAGCTGCCCCTCCTCCAAAATGCATGGCAGAGGTGTTTTGGTGCTGACCACACATTCAGGAATGTTACCTGGCATGGTTTGGGAATGATTGAGTAATCATGTATAAGTTCAACCCTAATGAACATGATGCCTGAAAAATGGCCTTAGAACTGCTGTTAGAGGCCCAGAGATTCTTGAGGATTGTCACACCTGGTATGCTCAGTAGCCAGTTTCTCAAAGCAAAAATGCAATCTTATGCCAAGTATTAATGTATATTTTTGATTTAAAAAAACTACACACTAAGTCAGCCTCTCAAAGTCATAGCGTGGCCTTTGTCGTAGTTTGTACATTTGGCAGTGACAGATTTGCGCGCTCCGTTGCCATGCCGACGGTGGGGTTACAGCCTCGGTGCATTGTCAGACAGAACAAAATAACAGAGCAGAAGGCCGTCATAAACATGCGACATCAAAGGGATGCACTGCTGTTGTCCTTGCACAAGTTTTGGTCTATGCATTAGTAGGATAACAAGAGGTCAAACTAATATAAACCAGCCAAATTGGTCGTTAACTTGTTAAGCTACAGCGTGAGAAGTCGGACTTTTCGCTCGTGACATGGCTACCATATGTTGGGGGTACGCATTCGCAGAACACTGTCTTTTCCAATGCCAGGCTTACAAAATGGTATACCATTTACAGTTAGTTCAGCGTGGGACACCGCTACACCACGTAAACATCCATTCGCCGGAATTTCGCACAGCCATGCGTGTAGGAAAACTAGGGAACACAGCAAAAGAGGGGAGCTCCATACGTTTTTGACTTGAAGCCCATATGGGATCTGCAAAAACCTCACTCCTTATGATAATGAGGCATATAAAAATCAACAGCATTGATTTACTCAGTCCAGCTTGCTTTCATGCCATCTATTTTGTTATTTCATGCAGTGCTCCAGGTGCCATTTCACATTAATTAAGTTGATGGGGGTTAGAAAATGTTTTTGTGTCAATTGATCTGTTTTGGTTATTCTTAGAAAACAATGCAGAAAAGATTTGGTGGACCCAGTCCATTTTGTGTCATTGGCTATGTTCCATATAACATGATGCTTTTTGTTCTCAGGAGGTTTAGAATGACAGCATAGAATGAAAAGGCCCACTGCAAGATGAGTGATAAGAGCTCAAGAGAGGTATGTGCAGGAGTGGAGTTTTCTTTTTAGTGTTGGATTGCAGCCCCCCCTCTCACCACCTTGGCCTCCAGCCCCCCCCCCCCCCCCCTGTGCACACTAACTTGAATGAAGAGAAGAGAAGAGAATGTGTAAAATCCAGTGAGAAACCCATTGGTTCGCATGTTTTTGGGAAGGATGCACTATTTTTGACTGATCAGTTGATGGGCTTCGGGAGTGCGCTCTTAATCGTCTTTGATTCTTTGATGCCTAGGGTCGTGGAAAGATCATCATCAGTGGATCATCTTCAAAAGATGATCCTGATCAACCTTGCAGTTGTGAGCTGTTGATTTACCACATCTGTTTTGAGAGACAACAGCATTGACATACAATATCTGGTGTGTCCTGTCCAGCCTCATCCTGCCGCCGGCCAGCCCCTGGGCAGCCCGAGCAAACAAGACCATACACCCCAAGCATGATGTCATTCTTCCACGCTTGTGCAATCGTACCGCCAGATCCAGCGAGCGAATCAACTGTAACAGACGCGGGAGTACCGTGATGACATGGATGTCTAGCGTCGGTGACGCGGACGGACGGCTGGGCGAAGTTCTTTGAGCTTCCGCCTCGCTCCAAAACCTCAGGACCCACCCACTTTGGATGGCTGTGGCGTGGTGCACTAATGCTAAGAATGCGGAAAAACTGCTTTCGTGCTTTTATCCAGTTTGCTCAGTTTGGCATCAGTATTAGACCCTCTAAAGATACTGGCGTATGCATTCAGATCTATGATAAAAAGACTTGGCGTGTGTGTGCAGCCGTCGAACAAACCCCAGTGGAGCAAACGCGGTGCGGTACTGGCGTTATCACGGCGTGCCGCTGCGGTCGGCGCCAGTGGCGGCGTGGCCCGTCCTTGGTGGCTGCCCCGGCCTTGTGAGTCATGCTGCGATGGCTGCGGGCGCCGGACTGGGACCGGGCTGCGGTATGCATTTGTACATGGTCCGGGGCGGGGGTCACCTCCTCCGCCAGTCGGTTATCCCCCTCTTCCGTCATCGGCATCCAGTGGGGAAATCGCCCCAAATCACACTGGGCGGCGAGCACCTGGTTTGTGGCACTGTCGGCGGCTCGCCGGAGGCACTCCATTACCGCAGCCCCGCGAGCGCCGTGTGGCTCTTACGCTGGCGGCCCGACCAGTGTGTTACGCGTTCACCCATTGATTCATCGGCTCGCGCGTGCGGTCGGTGGCACACTGCCAGGTGAATCACTCGTGATGACGTCAGACGCGACGCGACGCGACGCGCGAGACGGGCCAGTGCGTTTGTCAGGAGCCGTGCGGACAGACCTAGTCGCGTGTCTGTGGCGTCTCTCCCGCCGCGCTACTTACGACAGCTACAGCACAGGTGACGCAGCACACGACACGCATCTCAGATCGTCTCTCCTCGGTCGCCAGATCGTCTCTCTTCGGTTGCCAGATCGTCTCTCCTCGGTCGCCAGATCGTCTCTGCGGTTGCCAGATCGTCTCTCCCTAGTCGCCGGATTGTCTGTTTTTGGTTGCTAGATTGTTAGCCATGGTAGCCAGATTGCCTGTCCCAAGTGGCCAGATCGTCTGCCCCCGGTGGCCAGAGCAGGAGCCCCCATATATGCCCCTCCAGGTGTGCGGACGAGCAGACGACCGGGCCTCCGCTGCCGCCCGGGCGTCCGGTGACGCGGCCGCCCTGTGTCGCCAGGTGTGGCAGGCCGGCCAGAAGGTGATCGCCCGCTACAGCTTCACGGGAAACTCGCCCGACGACCTGCCCTTCCAGAAATGGGACGCGCTCACCATCGTGACGCCGACGCGCGATCCCAACTGGTACAAGGCGCGGCGCGCCGACAACCGCGAGGGCCTCATCCCGGCCAACTATGTGACCAAGCGCACCGCTGTGAAGCTGAACGCCATGCCGTGAGTCAGAGCGGCGCCGGGCCGGACGGCCGGACTGAGTCAGGCGGCGGACGTCCGGTCCCGGGGGGCGACACCCCGGGCCGGCCGGCCGCGCTCCGCTGCCGCCGGCCGCACGGCGCGGCGGACTGACCCGTGCTCGGGGCGGGGACGCTGTGTCAGGGCGGAGACGCTGCGGATGTCATCACCGCCGGTGCGAAAGGAAGCAGGGCTGCGCTGCCGGGACTCTGCGGAGGCTCTCCGTCACCACCCCTGCAGGAGGTGGAGGAGAAGAGAGGGGGGGGGGGGGGAGAGGCTGCATCACCGCTACTTTGCTCAGGCTCTTCGTCACCCCCACTGCAGGGGAGGGGAGGGAAGGGGAGGGGCTTCGCCGCCGGCACTTTCCTGAGGCTCCCCATCGGCCACTCACGGCATGGAAGGTGGAGGAGGGGGAGGAGGGAGGGAGGGAGGGAGGGAGGGGAGGGAGGGAGGGAGGGAGGGAGGGATGGAGGGGAGGGGAGGAGTGAGTGAGGAGGGGAGGGAGGGAGGGGAGGGAGGGAGGGCAGGGAGTGATGGAGTGGGGGGGGGAGGGAGGGAGGATGGGGGGGGGGGAGGGGAGGGAGGGAGGGGAGCAGCTTTGCCACCGGCACTTCGCTAAAGCTCTCCGTCACCACCCCTGCGATAGAGGCGGTGCCTGCCTTTCCTGACCCACGGTTCTCCATGTGGGGGCCCTGCGGCACGGGACGGGTCGCCACTGCCGCTCGACTGACAGTTCCGTGCGGTTGTTCACAGCTGGTTTCATGGCAAAATATCGCGGGAGCAGGCGGAGGGGCTGTTGACGCCGCGCGAGGACGGCCTCTTCTTGGTGCGTGAGTCCACCAACTTCCTCGGCGACTACACCCTGTGTGTCTGCTACCAGGGCAAAGTGGAGCACTACCGCGTCATCTACAAGGACAACCAGCTCACCATCGACGAGGAGGTGTTCTTCGAGAATCTGACCAAGTTGGTGGAGGTGGGTCGCACCGGCTTGGGCTCAGGACGGGTCTGGGGACGTGGGGTGCGTAACTTTTGCTACTTCAAGGCCAGCCGACAAACCATATGTTAGGTGAGAGCCATGCAATCCACAGTGGAGTGATTGGGCGTAGTTTGGGCTGATGGAGCTTTGGCGTTTCTGCTTAACGTAACGCACACATCTGAAACTGGTAGTTTGCGATCAGCTTTATACATGCCAGGTATATTTGGTATCCAGATGTGTGTAGTTGTGGAGAAGTTCCTTGTTCGTTTTGCCAGAGCTTTAAGGAGGGACAGGAGATGGATAGGGGGAGGGCCGACCCCAAGGTCAAGCAGCACCATAGTCTTATTCCGTCTAGTGCTAGATTTACTTTAATGCTCCAGCGATAGGTCGCATGATGCGTCAGTTGCGCGCGACTGAGGAGTACCGCGACATTAGGCGAAACCATCAACACGATTTTTCAGCAGTGCACACTGAGTGGCTTCTAACCATCTTGCTCGCCGCTGCAGCACTACAATGAGGATGCCGACGGTCTCTGCACCCAACTTAAGAGAAGTGTGCCGAAACAGGGCAAACAGGACTTCTCCATCGACTCGAAGGCGTTCGAGGCGGCCGGCTGGGTCATCCAGAAGGAGGAGCTCAAGGTGAGCCAGTCCCCAGGTGGTCATGGTTTGGCCTTATTAGGATACCAGTCAAGCTGTGGTGCATATCATCCGTTCATTGTCGTAACTGTCATGCGATGCGGCATTGGATGACTTACTACAAGTTATCAAACTCCGAAAGAACATTCTTTCTGGGAAGTTGTAATACCCAAAGAGGCATTACACTTCTCATGGTCACAAAACTGGGACGAGATTCATCAGCTTCTCGACAGCATGCTGCTCAGCCTGCTGGACATAGTGGGCACTTTGGACTATGCTGTTATTTCCTGAGTGAGACGCTGCAGAACTCGTAGCGTTGCATGGCTCCGTCAATCCCTGTCGATCTGTTCTCGGCTCGGATAACCACGTTACAGTTTGGAGCTGCCATCGGGCCCTTACGCCCCCGTGTGTCTGTTCCCCGATGCGGTGGTGTGGTGATCCCCTACGCCCCCCGTGCGCCTGTTACCCGGAGCGGTGACCTCCCACGTCCCCGTGTGTCTGTTCCCCAGTGTGGTGGTGTGGTGACCCCTCACGCTTCCCATGTGTCTGTTCCCCGGAGCGGCGATCCCTCACGCTCTCGTGTGTCTGTTACCCGGTGTGGTGATCTCTTACGCCCTCGTGCGCCTGTTACCCGGTGTGGTGATCTCTTACGCCCTCGTGCGCCTGTTACCCGGTGTGGTGACCCCTCACACCCTCGTGTGTCTGTCTCCCGGTGTGGTGATCCCTCACGCCCACCCGTGCCTGTCCCCCGGTGTGGTGATCCCTCACGCCCACCCGTGTGTCTGTCCGTCGGTGGGTTGACCCCCTGCTCCCCCGTGTGCCTGTCCGTCGGTGGGTTGACCCCTTGCTCCCCCGTGTGCCTGTCCATCTGTGGGTTGACCCCTTGCTCCCCCGTGTGCCTGTCCATCTGTGGGTTGACCCTTCACACTTCCAACGCGGCCGCTCGGCAGCTGGGCGAGCCGATCGGCAAGGGCGAGTTCGGTGACGTCCGCCTGGCCATACTGCGCGACAAGGACAAGGTGGCCGTCAAGACGCTCAAGGACAGCAGCAAGGCCGTGCAGCAGTTCCTGGCCGAGGCGTCGGTCATGACTTCGCTGCGGCATCCGCACCTGGTCCTGCTTATCGGCGTCGTGTTCGACGGCAACGTCACGTACCAGGTGGGCGGCGGGCGCGGCTCGCTATGCGCGAGGCTCTGGGACCGGTGTGGCCCAGGGCGATGGAGGTGATGTGGTCCTCACTCGACCAAGTCCGGGCGTCGGGGCGGGTCTGCGATGTGGGAGGGGCGTCAATTTTGTTGGCCCGAGAAGCGTGCAGCTGTCGGCACTTCCGTGGCGTGAACGTTGGCTCGGGTCGAGCACAGGCGTCTGTTACTGGTCCGTGTTGCGGCGCGCGTGGGAGAGCCCTTACGCCGGTCTGTGCACCGCCGTCCGGGTGAGCCGTCCAGTGTCCGCGGGCCGGACAGAACAATGCTGGCGTGTACCTCTGCATTGCCCCCCCCCCCCCCCCCACCCGGCCCGGCTCTGACTGTGGCGGCCAACCTGGCGTGCGGTCGACACGCCCACAGGCCGCCGCGGCGACTGGACGGGCGGGCGTGCGAGCTGACGAGCCCGCCGCGCCAGCCCGACCTGTGTCCATCGTCGAGTCCCTAACGGTCGGGCGGCGCCCAGGCCGCAGCTGACGGGGCCGGCGAGCGTGGCGCCAGTGCGCACCTCACGTGTCTGACGTCCCCCGCGCCCGCCAGGTGATGGAGTACATGGCCAAGGGCAGCCTGGTGGACTACCTGCGATCCCGAGGGCGGCTGCACGTTTCCAAGCTGGACCAGATCAAGTTCGCGTGGTGAGCCGCCGACGCAGCCGCAGTCGCCGCCACCGACGGCTAGCGTGCTGACACCAGTGCTCGCGCGCCCGCTCAGGCGCCCCGCTCTGCCCCCCCTCTCTGCCCCCCCTCTCTGCCCCCCCCTCTCTCTGCCCCTCTTCTCTGCCCCCTCTCTGCCCCCTCCCTCTGCCCCCCTCTCTGCCCCCTCTCTGCCCCCTCTCTGCCCCCCTCTCTGCCCCCCTCTCTGCCCCCCCTCTCTGCCCCCTCTCTCCCCTCTCTCCCCCTCTCCCCTCTCCCCCTCTCTCTCTCTCTCGAAGGATGTCACGCGTTTACTCACCCGGTCGCCCCGCCATGCTGCTGAGGGAAGGGACTCGGGATCAGTTAGGCAGCCGACAGCTGGTGACTGACACACATGTCGCCTCTTACGATCAGGCTCGATGCTGTGCCGGGTAGTGAACTGTCCACGTGTCCACGTTCGCGACAGACCACGCGCATCCGCTACAGCCGTGACATCCCGCTGCAGCCGCTATCTCCCGCGCGTCCCGCAGCGCTGCCGCCTCATCCCTGGCCTCGCCGTCCTCATCCCTCACCTCGCCGTCCTCATCCCTCACCTCGCTGTCCCCATCTCTGGCCTCGCTGTCCCCACCTCTGGCCTCGCCATCCTCATCCCTCACCTCGCCGTCTCCATCTCTGGCCTCGCTGTCCCCATCCCTCACCTCGCCATCCTCACCCCTGGCCTCGTTGTCCCCATCTCTGGCTTTGATGTCCCCACCTCTGGCCTCGCCGTCTTCCTCCCTGGCCTCGCTGTCCCCACCTCTGGCCTCGCCATCCTCATCCCTCACCTCGCCGTCCCCATCTCTGGCCTCGCTGTCCCCATCCCTCACCTCGCCATCCTCATCCCTGGCCTCGTTGTCCCCATCTCTGGCTTTGATGTCCCCACCTCTGGCCTCGCCGTCCTCCTCCCTGGCCTCGCCGTCCCCACCTCTGGCCTCGCCATCCTCATCCCTCACCTCGCCGTCCCCATCTCTGGCCTCACTGTCCCCATCCCTCACCTCGCCATCCTCATCCCTGGCCTCGTTGTCCCCATCTCTGGGCTCGCCGTCCCCATCTCTGGCCTCGCCGTTCTGATCGCTGGCCGCCCGGGCCGCCGCTGCCTGACCGGGTCGACTCTGCCGCAGTGACACCTGCTCCGGGATGGCCTACCTGGAGTCGAAGCGGCTCGTGCACCGCGATCTGGCGGCGCGAAACGTGCTCATCTCGGAGGCGGACGACGCCAAGATCGCCGACTTCGGCCTGGCGCGCGAGGAGTGCTTCAACCAGGAGGGCGGCAAGTTCCCCATCAAGTGGACTGCGCCCGAGGCGCTGAAGGAGAGCGTGAGTGTCGGCGGTCCCCGCGGGGGGGGGGGGGGGTCCGGGAGTGGGGCGAGTTAAGTGGAGGGAGGCGGGGGGGGGGGGGGGGGCTCAGTGCGGAGGTGGAACAGCGGAGTAACAGTGTACTCACCCCGATGGCCTGCTGTGGAAAGCGTGACTTTTGTGTATTGCTTTCCATATGCGACTTTGAGCCAGTAGCGCAAAAAGGTGTATTCACGGATGTCCGACGGTCGACGAAACCTGAGAAAATATGCATATTGGTGCTACGCAGCCAATGAACATGTTAAACACATGATTTCCTTATACAATCATTAAGAATCGTAATGAAATGCATGCATCGTAATTCAGGATGATGCTTCTTCAGGTGGCATCCGTGGATGCGCGATGTTTACCACGTTCTGTCAACTTCCTTGGATATCTCAACCACCCAGCGACGTTAGAGACGAGCCATGACGCCATGGACAGGGGCTTTTCTGTGTGACAGTTACTGCGTTTGTGGGTGGTGCCATGAACGGTGCGTCCCGATAAAATTTGAGACAATTCCCCCTGCGATGCCACATGAGCTACTTCACCGTCATGTCTCATGTGAACATCAGAGGTGTGATTAATGCTTTTGTGTCGAGAGTTTTATGACCAAATGAGAGGTATGTGCAAATTCCCGCTTGCTGCAGAGCGGTAATGTTGATTCGAGATGGCGTGTGGCGATGAAACATGCCTTTTTAGCTAAGAACTTGTGGTACGACTCCTGGCTTAGCTGGCGTAAAACCCCCGGCTCACAGCTTATTTTGCACTGCTCGTTCAAGTCGGGTGAAGCCTTCGCAAAGCTCGCGTAACGTTTGTGTAGCGTGCGATTGATTGGCCATTGTATTATGCTCAAAACCCATCGACGAACGAAGTGGCAAGCGTATTTTCGCTGGCTATGCTGTCACCAGCGTAGATGGATGCGCGAAGAGCGTGCGGATTGCGAACCTTGATCCGTTATAGTTCGCATACACATGCGCTCCCCTGTACCAGATGACTGCAGCTCCGGAGAGAAGTCGTTATTGGATCATTTGGCAGGCGTCTACTTGGGCATACTTGACGACCCTGCGGTGATACAATGGCATGTCTGATTCCCATGCACACAGCGCTACGCTGGTTTGGATCTGGGAACAAAAACAACCCACATCTAGTTGACCTGGCACAACGAATCGCCTTTTACCTCTCTGGGTTCAAATGGTGTTACTGGACGTACCTAATTGAGCGTCTGCTGTGTCTGAATACCACATGACAGCGGTCAAAAATGAGCGTCTGGCCCTGGCGCAGGCGGTACCACGGCCGTGACCTGATCACGCCGCTGGACCGGGTGTAGATGTGATCTGACCCTGTCGCAGGCGGTACCACGGCCGTGACCCGATCACGCTGCTGGACCGGGCGTAGATGTGATTTGACCCTGTCGCAGGCGGTACCACGGCCGTGACCCGATCACGCTGCTGAACCGAGTGTAGGTGTCATCTGACCCTGGCGTAGCGGCGAGCGGCCGTGACCTGATCACGCCGCTGGACCGGGTGTAGGTGTCATCTGACCCTGGCGTAGCGGCGAGCGACCGTGGCGCCGCCGCCCTCTCACGTACCCCGCCCGGCTGCCGGCAGAAATTCTCCAACAAGTCTGACATGTGGAGTTTCGGCGTGCTGCTCTGGGAGATCTACTCGTTTGGACGCGTGCCGTACCCACGCATCCCCCTCTCGGACGTGGTGCGATACGTGGCCAGCGGCTACCGCATGGAGGCGCCCGAGTGGTGTCCGCCAGAGGTCTACCAGATCATGAAGGAGGTACGGAGCCCGGCCGCTGGCCAGAGCCTGGGGAGCGGCCACAGCGGGCTGAGCTGGCCGGAAGGCTCTCCGCCTAGGCTGATTCACGAAAAGCGGAAGTGTCGCTAGTTCACGTGGCCAGCTGTTACTCTTATGCTTCGCACGTATTGATTTTTCGATAAGTTTTGCTCGAGCTCGGGAATGCACTGCGTGCTCTGGCCGGACCAATGGCTCGGCGGTGGTGGCCGGCTCGTCGCGCGCATCTGAGCGGCTGCGCCCGGCGCGGCGCGCGGGACCGCTGATGACGCGGCGCGCCGCCGCCCACAGGCCTGGGGAGCCGACCCGGAGGCGCGGCCCACCTTCTACGAGGTGGAGCGGCGCCTGCAGGCCATCAAGGTGTCCATCAACAGCTGAGTGCCGCCGCCGCCGCCGCCTCCATACGTGCCGCCGTCCTGCCCCGCCCCCGTCTACGGCGGATCGGACCGGGCGACATGCCTGCCCCCGTCCCGCCGCCCCTCCTTCCCCGCCGCTGTCGGAGCTGTGCTGGTCACCGGGCGTTTTTTTATTACCATTTGGACAGGTTGTTAAGTAGGTACTTATACTTAGGGCTCCGCGTTGCGCCGCGCGGGGCGCGACTTCGATTGTGATTATGTGAGAAGAGCCTGCTACTGACCGTCGCTGCCCGCGCCGCCGTGTCTGTACATCCCATCTGCTTACGCTTCTGTCTGTCGGTGTCTAATTGCTCGGGTGCATGATGAGCAGCGGTTTTGTACTAGGCCAAAGAGCGGTGTCTGTTGTTTGGACTGAGCCGGCCGCGGCGGTCGGCGGCTGCCGGCGAGGTGGCGGTTCACTAAGCTCAAACGGTTATGTATTCCACCAGTGTTCTCGGACACTGCGGACGCTTTTATACACTCCGACTTGGCTTTGGCGCCGGTGAATGCCCAAGTCCGCGGTGAGATGAAATATAGCGGAATGCGAGAGACGGCTGATGTTTGTTGTGACGGGAGGCGTCTGCGTCGGGAGGCGGCGCTAGTGCCATCCGTCATAGATGCTGCGTCGGGAGGCGACGCTGGTGCCATCCGTCATAGATGCTGCGTCGGGAGGCGACGCTGGTGCCATCCGTCATAGTTGCTGCGTCGGGAGGCGACGCCGACGCCATCCGTCATAGATGCTGCGTCGGGAGGCGGCGCTGGTGCCATCCGTCATAGATGCTGCGTCGGGAGGCGGCGCTGGTGCCATCCGCCATAGATGTTGCGCACGCACGTGAAGTGGCGCGCTGATTCGTCTGGTTCATCTGGAGTTATTCATTAAACGACATGATGATTCGTCTGGTTCGTCTGCTGCTAGCCATGAGGTGGCGTGCTGGTTCATTGTATGATCAGTTTGACTGGGTGCCGGTGGCCACTTCACGCTCTGGATCAGTGGTTTCGCAAAAAGGTGTTGCTGCTGGGCGGGGCAAAGTAGGCACGCGGCTCACAATTTCGACGCGCAGCTCTTTGAGCGAACACGTTGGACGTTATGTGTGCTTGTAGAATATGGATCACACGAAACATCCCTATAGACACTAAGTGTTACACTTAACTTTTCTAGATTTTATATTTCTTGCTGTCGAAGACAGCAGTAGTTTGGGAAGTCAACGGCATCGATGCGATGAACTCCAAATACAGGCTTAAGACAGCTACACGCCCAAAGAGTACTGTTGCTTTTCCTCTGCGATGCACACAAGTCGTCCCTCGAATAGCGTCTGTTCGCTTCATTCGCTGCTTGGTCATTATTTCTAGCTGCCCGACGCGTCGTCCTTTGCGCGTGGTCCCATCGCTAGACCGTGTTCGCCTTGGCCTGTTAGCGCCGGCCTCGCCACGCTTCCCGCCACGCCTCGCCTGCCTGAGACGCCGCCCGCGCCGGCCAGTGACACGGCCCAGCAGCAGGGGCTTACATTATAGTCTTGCCATGCATTGGACTGCTGGAGGCTTAAGCAGAGTTCCCTTTGGACGTGACGTCATCTCGCGACATGCGTGTCAAGTTGGACTGCGGGAGGCTTAAGCGGAGTTCCTTTTGGACGTGACGTCATCTCGCGGTATGCCGGTCAAGTTGGACTGCGGGAGGCTTAAGCAGAGTTCCTTTTGGACGTGATGTCATCTCGCGGTATGCCGGTCAAGTTGGAATGCGGGACGGCCTTCTAGCACCACAGCAGTACTGCGGCAAAAACTACCGGCAGGAGTGCTGCGACATTAGATATACGCGGCGTTACTTCTACTGCAAGAGCTCATGCTGTCTTTCTTTACATTCGACATTAATTCTGCTGCAAAAACTTAGGCGTAACATGAGTGCTGCACGACAAAAGTTATGCTGCAAAAACTTTCTCTCGTCATCGCTATATCACACACACACACACACACACACACACACACACACACACACACACACACACACACACACACACACACACACACACACACACACACACACACACACACACACACACACACACACACACACACACACACACACACACACACACACACACACACCACACACACACACACACACACACACACACACACACACACACACACACACACACACACACACACACACACACACACACACACACACACACACACACACACACACACACACACACACACACACACACACACACACACACACACACACACACACACACACACACACACACACACACACACACACACACACACACACACACACACACACACACACACACACACACACACACACACACATATATATATATATATATATATATATATATATGTATATATATAATAATAATAATAATAAGCTCCGTCTATACGCGACATTACTTCTACGACAAAAACTCAAGTGCGCTCAAGTCTGCGTCAAGTGTCAGATACTTTTCATATTTGTACAAACTGACTGATGGTCTTCATACTAACCCCAATCGGTATTGGTCGCTTTTAGGTCGTCAACATCGCCATTTTTATGTAACCTTGATCGTACGCCTCTATCAGAAGATTAAGACCACTAACCTGCTTTAAACCACGCCCTCCACAAGAAATTCACCAACCCGACTGCAGCGAGTTATCCGAACACGCATGTATATTACTGTGACACACAGTCGGTGTCTTGTTTCCAAGGTCGCTGAGCGGGAGGTCTGGTATCGATCGGCCCAAACGAAGCCTGTGGGACTGACAGCGTCGGCATCCTGATCGTCATCGGATGTATGGACGAGCTGGGTGCACCACTCGCCAAGATTTGTCACGCCTCTTTGTCAGTGCCTTACCGACGCCGTGGAGAAAGCCGAGCGACCAGACGGCAACAAAAAATCGTCAGATTACAGATAGGCTTTTTTGCTTCCTCACTTTATCAAGGATCTGGAGCTCATCGTATATGATAAGCATGTTCGGCACACTTAATCTCGATGCCTGTGCGTTCTCAACCTATATGTTTACCTTCACTGGTCGCAGCAGGACCATCTGATGGGCATCAGGCTGTGTGTGCGGAGAATACATGAGCGCACTGATCGGCTGACTCTGAGTCGCGACAGGACCATCGGATGGGTACCAGGCTGTATGTACGGAGGTTATATGTGCGCACTTATCGGCTGACGCTGAGTCGCGACAGGACCATCGGATGGGCACCAGGCTGTATGTACGGAGGTTATATGTGCGCACTGATCGGCTGACGCTGAGTCGCGACAGGACCATCGGATGGGTACCAGGCTGTATGTACGGAGGTTATATGTGCGCACTGATCGGCTGACGCTGAGGACCATCGGATGGGCACCAGGCTGTATGTACGGAGGTTATATGTGCGCACTTATCGGCTGACGCTGAGTCGCGACAGGACCATCGGATGGGCACCAGGCTGTATGTACGGAGGTTATATGTGCGCACTGATCGGCTGACGCTGAGTCGCGATAGGACCATCGGATGGGCACCAGGCTGTATGTACGGAGGTTATATGTGCGCATTAATCGGCTGACGCTGAGGACCATCGGATGGGCACCAGGCTGTATGTACGGAGGTTATATGAGCGCACTAATCGGCTGACGCTGAGTCGCGGTAGGACCATCGGATGGGTACCAGGCTGTATGTACGGAGGTTATATGTGCGCACTGATCGGCTGACGCTGAGGACCATCGGATGGGTACCAGGCCGTATGTACGGAGGTTATATGTGCGCACTGATCGGCTGACGCTGAGGACCATCGGATGGGCACCAGGCTGTATGTACGGAGGTTATACGTGCGCACTGATCGGCTGACGCTGAGGACCACCGGATGGGTACCAGGCTGTATGTACGGAGGTTATATGTGCGCACTGATCGGCTGACGCTGAGTCGCGGCAGGACCATCGGAGGGTACCAGGCTGTATGTACGGAGGTTATATGTGCGCACTGATCGGCTGACGCTGAGGACCATCGGATGGGTACCAGGCCGTATGTACGGAGGTTACATGTGCGCACTGATCGGCAGACGCTGAGAGCCTCACTCACAATTCTACCTGCACATCACTCACATTGTCTACTGATGGCTTGAAGGGGGCTCACTGTTTGTCTTGAACGGCCCCTTTCGGCCTACTGAGGACTTGTTGGTCTTCAGGGGGACCTGCTTCCGACTTGTGGTGAGGTCTGGCTGTGATCAGCGTAGTCAGCAGCGTCCCATACCAGCATGCGATCCGTGTTCCGGTCCAGCATGCGATCCGTGATCAGCTTCTACGTCGTGTTAAAGTTCGTTCTTGGAGATCCCATAGACCACAGCGGGTATTGCACTGGTCAAAAATATATTTCGATGTGAATTAAAATATGAACTTCTTCTCCGTGGTCTCTTTACATGTACCGTCTCAACCAATGGGCGGCGCCCATCACCGGTTTGCCGCGCCGCGAGTGCGTGTATCCGCAGTGAAGGCCGGTCTTTATAGACTACCGACTGATTCGCGAGGTTTCGTTGCCATGCATCCTTTTTAATGATGGTTTTCAGCTATTTAGACCAATGATAATCGAGTGAACTCTGTCTTCGTAATGTGCTCCTTTACTCAGGTTTAATTAGAAAATTGCGTTCTAAGCAAGTGGTTGGACAGAGGCTTTGCGAGAGTGGGCACTACCGTTGGGTATTGGTCAACCAGAGAGTAACCGGTAGACGTGATTAGCCCAAACACGATCATTTACGATTGCCGACGGCGAATACAACGCATCGCGCGGTCGGGTGGATGGTGGTGCAAAGGGTAGTAAAGAGGACAATGGAAAAGAGGATGGAGAATATGAAGGATGGTGAACGTGACAATGATGATGACATATTTTAAGCAGCCTGATTTCTGTTCTTGATGAAGCAGCAAGGCTTTCGATTAACTTGTGGTTGCGAATTGCTAGCTTACACTTGCCTGAAATCTGCCCAAGTTAACATGAACTAAACAATTTCTCACAAGACAAATCCCTGAGGCGTTTCACCTCATCTTTGATCCGCCTCCTCAAGAAGATTGAGCTGGCCTGATGCCAGAAGTTGTTTAATCCACAGATGTAAACTCTCAGTTTCGAGCTCACAACGTGTCTCTCACAGTCCATGCGAAATTGTGATCAGCGAGTTTGAAGACGTTAATCCTGACATCTGTCTAACCTCTTTCACTAGAAAGGCTTAGGTGGACGTAAATCGTGCACAGTGTCCCAGCCCGAAAAAACGAGTCGAGAGCCCGTGCCCTCTAGCACTGTGGCGCGGACATCCACGCCGCTTCCATCGCAGATAATCCCGCTCATGAAGAGCCAACTAATGGAAGACATTGCACACGGGCTGCAGCTCTGACAGTCGTGGCCCATTCTCATTGCAGGCAGACTCCTTGAGCGGGTCAGCGTTGTTGGTGGCATCCAAGTGATTATTGTATTATCAAAACCGTGTCGAGTATTCTGGTGTTTCAGACGAACCCAGAGTGACACGAAAACAAAGGCTGCATATAATTTTGGGCATGAAAAACTAATTAGAATACCCCTGGG